ATCTCCCGCCGCTTCCGACGACCCCTGCCCGGCCGCAAGGGAGGCACAGCCCGCCGCAACGACTGAGTGAAACCGGTGAAGTGGTTAAAGTTTGGTTTGTGCCCGTCGTCAGCCCATCCCCCACAACAGCGAGCAGAACTTTACCACCTCCCTCCATTAACAACAATAAAAAAAAATAAAAATAATAATAATAAAAAAAGCCGAATCCCTAACATTTCCAAACAATGCGGTGAAGAAAAATACAATTTGTCGTACACACACACACACACACATTTACCCAAAGACAAACAGTTTGGGGCACGGCTTGGACAACAACCGGCGACCCCTCGCGTCGCACCGAGCCGAGTCCCACACGGTTGTCCTCGGTGACCCACGGCGCTCAACTCACCCCTCCTCGGCCTGGCTGTGCGGGTTCGTTCCGCTGGAAAGTGATTCAGTGGAGCAGTAGAAGAAGTGAGCGGTCCACAGTCTCCCTCCGCCTGGTCACAGGCAGCCATTCATTGTGACTGTACGCCGTGAACCAACAACAGCCGAAGAACGCGCACAGTCCTTGCATACACATACATACCTAACACGTGTGTGTGTATGTGTGAGAGGTAGAACGTACGCGCACGGACCAACGCGCGCACATGCATGCGATAAGAGCGCAGAGCTATCGAGCGAGCGGGGACTCTTTTTTGGAATCTCCCAGGGGTTGAAGATAGATCGCAGAGCTACCGATCGACAGACAGACAGATGAACAGGTAGACAGTGCACTACAGTAGTACAATAGTTCATTATTATTCTTATATATATTAAGTGAGGTTTGTTGGGGGAGATAACAGTAGGTGATAGTGATGACAGTAACAGCGAATTAAATGTTATGGTCATTGTACGTACGATGTATGAAGATGAGAAGTGAAGACAGCAGTAAATGTGTTCGTAAATAAGTATTTTAAAAAAAATCTTGTTTTTGTTTTCTAATTTCCTGAAACAGTTGGGGAAATCCGTTTTGAAGAATAAAAATGCAGATTTATCATAATGACCACAGTCCTTTAGCAAAAACACGTGTATCCACACATTATACTAGAGTTATAGAGTACATATACAAGTATAGTATTTTTTAATGTATTCAGTCATTCAGTCTTTTACTTCTACTGCACCCACATTGACAACAAATCTAACTACAAATTGAATTTATCCTTAATCCACAGGGGATTTGAACTTTGTGCAAATGCGTATATTTCTGTTATGAATAATATATTAGTGTGTACATTAACATATATTATCATATGGGTTTTTGAAAACACCATCGTAGAAATAGTGCATAGTGTATTATCGTTAATATTAAATCACTGCTACTTATTATTAATATATTATATAGTACATTATTGATTACAGTATTATCTAGTACTGTAGTATTCATATGTACTGTCTACTGCAATACTTTGTTAGAGGTCAACACTTCTTATTCACTGTTACGAATACTATCAGTGTTCAGGTATTAAAAACTGAAGTAATGTGATTACATTCGCTCCGGTAACGCACTGACTGACTGTGAGCCCACGCAGCGCTGCATGCAGGTAGACAGACAGCGTCCCCAGCCGACCCCGCTGTCTGAGCCCCACCCACTGAAGTCCACCCACTCACCCCCCACCCCACCCCTCCGCTCCCCCTCTCTGTGCTCACCGGGGTGTCTTCTCCCTCTGGGCGGCGGCGGCAGTAGTGAAGGTGCTGGTGTTGGTGGAGCCGACGACTCCCCCTCTCCTGGCCTGTACGCGGCGGATGGTGGTTCTATTCCGCTGTGTGAAAGTCTAGACAGAGCCGCGCAGGTGAGCTCAACAGCAGCAGCAGCAGCAGCAACAGCAACAGCAACAGCAGCAGCAGCAGCTCCGGGGCCTCCAGGCGCTGCGCACAGTGAATGCTAAACAGGATGAGACTGCACCCAGGCAGCACGGCTCTGCCGCTCCCCGCCACTCTCTCTCACTGTCATGCCAAATTCTATTAACTCTATAATTCTCCTGTGTCAGATGTATAGCGCCACGCTCTCTGGGCATTCATTGTCACAGCGCCCCCATCCAGATGTTTAGGGTGGTGTGCACGGTGTGGATTCACGGCGCTGTATCTGTCTAGTCCACACACCTCACAGTCAAAGCCACTCACTCTGGCTGCACAACACCAAATACAACAAGGTGATTACAGATGTTGCAGTTTATTGACGACGGCCGACTACTGTCTGGTTTCTAATGTAAACAGACAGACGAGCACACGGGCAGACAGCGGGACTGTTTCCACCACGCAGCTGGGACCACGCACCAACAGTACCAGAAACTATGTAAATATACTCAGCAAAGGCCCGTTTTTAAAGCAAAACAAGTCCCTGATAAACAGATCAAAACAATAACAATCTCTGATGAATAAACAGCAAAGCGCAGTTTGAAAAGTGGGTTGTCACGAGGGAAGGAACTTAAAGTCGAGATGAAATATGGAAATATAAGCAATTACAATAAAATTAATGTAATTTTTTTTTTGTCTTTTTGAAATGCGCATGTCACTGCAGCAGAGACGACGTGTGAGGAGAAAATAAAAGTTGAAGCTAAAGAGCTGCTGTTACAGGTTGCCACCAGTGAGGCGCAATCCTAAAAGTTGACAAATACAAAGTTAATGGACGATTCGGAAATAATAAACGACACTAATAAATATAAGGGGTTCTTAAATGTAAACGGTATCGTCTTGGATGAATATGGAAGGGATTAATAGTGTAAACATGACAATATTCTTTATAAAACACGATAAAAAACGCTGCTCCAAAGAAAGGTCTTCCACCCAGAAGGTTTACCGAAATAGTGATCAAAATCATTAGCCAAAAAGGGTTAAATTTAAACCTGAATATGATGAGCTGTGTCGCCTATTCCCAGATAAGGATGTATATTATTCACTGTGAGTAACGGTGTGCAAATTAACGGGTTTATCTGGTACGTGTTGAAGTCTTTGTGCTTCGTCTAACCTCGCTCGACAGCAGGCGAGTGCGAGTGTGAGGCGAGATTACATTAGATTATTCATTCCGTGCTCTCCACTCGCTGCTACATGTGATGCAGCAGAACAAACCGCACACCGATTGACCCTGGTGTGTCCTCACGTTACACCGTGTTCCCTGAACTGAGACGGCCTCGCCGGTAGGGGCGGGGTGGAGAAGGGGAGCGCAGGGACAAGCTTCGCGCTTTAGCGTTGGTCGCGCAGGCTTCCGTAGGGACGCGCTAGAAAACATGGCTGCTCCCTTGAACTAACGTGAGGGAACTCTGCGCAGAAGCAGTCACAGCTGATTTTAAGAAACTGCGACAGTTTACGGGCTTTCTACAATTTATTTTCACTGCAGCGGCTAAGAGCTAAAGGTAAAAGAATATATATGTTTATGTTTGTTTTGTTCATTTATCATATCTGCTGACACGATGTAATTCCGTGGCAGAATCAACCTCCGGCATCAACTGCGTGTTTGACACAACATAATTAGCTACAATAATGACTCAAACCAATTAATGACTGCTAAGGATAATAAGGACTGAGAATATTTCCAAAATAAGTTATTTTCCCCCGTCTGCCTAAAGTTCTTTACATTCCCCTCTGCTTTTAACAAGCTCATAATATTGCTTCAATTGAAAGTAAAATAAATAAGTAAACGTTTTTATTTTTTGGTATATTACATATACCAATAACATATACATGGTAATTGTATATGGCAATAACATATTTATGGTAATTGTCTTTTGTGTTAAAAATATAAATTGGTCAACTACATATTTTTGGTCATTGTCTTTTGTGTTAAAAATATAAATTGTAAATGTTCAAGACTGACTTAAACCCCTTGGTGGACTATTTTAATAGTGTTTTTTTCTTCTTCTCTTTTTAGGCTGTTGATGCTGTTGTGGTCATCACGTCTTTTCTCTCTCATCATCCACTACCCACTGCGTCACACCTGCACGTTTGCTTCTGCAAAGAAACCGTGGTGGAACTTAGGTTCATCTGCTGCCACTGTTTTTAGCAGGACATTAACGTCAATGGAGCCCAAGGACACAGAAGTGACCAACACTACGTCCAGCCCTCTGCCCACATTCACTGAAGTGTCGGCTGACCTCCAGAGTCCAGCTGCAGCACAAGCGCCAAATGTTAACACGGAGATGCCTGCTGTGGGTCTTTTACCAGGAGAGACGGTTGTCAAGGAGGGCAGGGCGAACATCTTATACCCCAATGCAAATGAGGTGTTTTACAACCCGGTGCAAGAGTTTAACAGGGATTTGACGTAAGTCGGCGTCGCTTCATTTTTTCTAAGGAAGAATAGTGATTGGCAAGTACAGAATCTATAGGGAAACAACAAAAGGAAGCTTCAAAAGATGTAAACCACAAGTATTACGTATTACGAAGGATGTCCGATAATATCGGCCGACCGTTTTAACGGTTGATATTAGCATAACTATGTACTATCTGAAAGAATAGAAAAGAATAGTTTTTTCCTCTGATAATGAAAACCCAATAACACTATGTCAGGGTTTCGCCAAATGATGAGTGCCCTAAAAATAGTGTGGGGAAAAACAGCTGTATGTTAAAGTGAGTCACTAGATGGCAGCATTGCAGCTCATTTAATCAATCTCATACTCCTACAGTGGTTTGAAGGAGGACACATTCGATGACAAATGAAGCTCTTTTTTTTCCTACCTAGTTGTGCCGTGATCACGGAGTTTGCCAGAGATGTGCTTGCTCAGCGTGGGGTGAAGCTGGTGGTTCCTGGAGAAAAGGAGAAGGTGGTGGTCTCCCTGTCGGAGGAGAAGAACGAGGCTGATTCACAGATGGAGGAGGAAAACGGAGCAGAGGAGCCGGCGGTTACTGCGACAGTGGGGGAGAAGTGTGACGTACGTGGGACCGTTGCTGTTGTCTTGACCATCCGTCTTTGATACAGGACATATGTCAATTTTTTACAATTGTTGTCGAAGAACTTGACAAGAAGTTGTCGTAAAAATAAAGTTCAAAACTTCATCATTTTTTTTAATTTCAGACTGGTCTCCGTGTACTGGAGGGGTTGGCAGCATCTGGTTTGCGCTCTGTGCGTTTTGCCCTGGAAGTCCCTGGTCTGAAGAGCATCACCGCTAACGATTTCTCCCACAAGGCCGCGGCTCTGATCGCTCGGAACGCCCAGTACAACAGAGTCAGCCACCTGCTGGAAGCTAGCTGCAAAGACGCCAGGTGTGATGGCTCAGTGAGCTCTGCTGCTGTTATTTATCTGCTTCAGATATTATTTCTGTTTGTATCTCATTGTTTGTCTCTTTGTCTTTTTTTAATCCTAGTTTGCTGATGTACGAGATGCGGGGGAAGAAGGACCGCTATGACGTAATTGATCTGGATCCCTATGGTAGCCCGTCCTGTTTTCTAGATGCTGCCGTGCAGGCTGTCAGTGAAGGAGGTGAGGTTTTTGGTGATGTCATAAAATACTGCTACAGGTATTTTACAAAATCCAATCCTGCTCAGCCTGCAGAGCCGAACAGTGTTTGTCATTTATTGACGCCACCTCCCTCACCTTATAAAATCTAAATCCACTGATTAAAATGTAACTCAAGGTGAAATCCAATCTGTCCCTAGTGGTTCCTGCACTTAAATATAAACTGTAATGACATCAGGTTGGCTGTTCCAACAGGAACTGATGAAACACGTTTTTGTAAGGTGATACTAACAGAAAAAATGTTTCTCAAATATTCCACTGTTCTCTTCTCTCTCTCTGTGACAGGACTTCTGTGTATCACGTGTACAGACATGGCAGTCATGGCTGGGAAGAGGGGGGAGACCTGCTACAGCAAGTACGGCTCTGTCTCCATCAAGTCAAAGTACTGTCATGAGATGGTGAGGAAGTGTAGAAAATCACACACACGCACGCACACACACGCAGCATAATATTGATGATTTTAACAAATGGAAATATGTTCATTTTTTTAATAGCATCTTTAAAAAATCTACATTTCATTACCTTTTGGAACATATTGTCCAAAATATTATGATTTTATTATGACATGAAACTGTAAAACATTACATCGCTAATAATTTCTTCAGCCCATGGATGGTTTTTAAGAGAGCTCGTATCAGTTGACTTTTAAAGATAGATGATCCTTTAACCCCCCCACCTCACCGTTTACGTCCCTGGTCTGTGCAGAACCGATCTTTTTGGCTCACGCAATCGCATCAGTGTTGAGGTTCCTCATCCTAAATGCCAGCTTGTTATAATCAGCCTGGTCAAATCCTCCAGTTCCGTTGCAGATGCTGCAGACGGTAAAGTCGCAGCTCCGCCCTCTGTTGAGTCAGATTTTGGAGAAATGTCCTCATTTCTCGGATTTGTTGATCAGTTCTCCCCATTTGTACGTTGTAGTCCAATATCGCGATCTGCACATTGGTTAATTGATTAGCTGGTGGCAAATTACCTCTGGGTAAAATGTACCAACGTGGACCTGCAGGTCAAAGGTTACCATTACTCCTCTGTTATTGACTCTCTGAAATAGAGGCATCTTAAAATATCAAACCAAATACTTAACTGTTTCTTGCGTTGTGTCGTCCGTCGCCGTATGGATTCATATTGAGCAGAGCTGCTAAAGTGTAACTCTGTAACTTGTCAGCTCCCCCCTCTTTTACCTCCTCGGTTGGTCAGTTGGTCGGTCAGTTTGTTGGTAAACAGTGGACTTGACCCACAGTTGGCAGCAGCGGTGTTTCATTATTGCCTTCTGTTTAATTTATTACTCATTCCTTCTGTTTCCCTTCCTTCCTGCTTCCTGTCTAATGGTGGTGGGCTCCCCCTAGTGGAGGTGTTTTTGACATGATAAAATATGAAGTCTTAGTCCTTTGATCTTCTGTGATGTCATAGTGTCATGTGATGTCATCACAGCCTATTTAGGACAAAGGAACATAAAAGGGATTCTTCTCACTTTTCATGACATGATTGGAAAAAAAAATTCAAATTAAAAGAAAATAAAATTTAAAGAAGAAAGGCTTCTGACATGTCATTATTATATAAAGAATAACATGGACACGTCAGTGATTCAGATCGTTTTTATTTATATTTCTCTCTGTCTTTAACAAATGGTCAAAGCATTGGTTGGGGTGAAAAAACTCGCCAGTTGAAAATTGATTTTCTGTCTTTAAATATGCGTCTTTATCCATCTCCAAACCTAACGCAGAGATGTGGATGAGATGGAGGCCGATAACAACGGCAAAGATCATTAGGATACGTACGTTTGTACCATCAGTCATATATGAAACGTAAAGGAAACTGTGCCGTTTTTGGTCCTGGCCCTGCTGATGGGTGACTATGTGGAAAAATACATAAACTACAACATGTATTATTTTCCGATGCAGGTCACATGGTTGCTACTGCCACATACGGCGTCCTATAACTTAAAAAAAAGACAGGGGTCTGTGGTTCAACAGTGACACCACAGTCTGACAATTACTATAAAATACTGACGTAGATGTGTATCTTACATCGACTCAGTCTGAAAACTCAGAAGTGAGTTTTCTGCCATATTGCCAAAGCTTTAACTTAAGTCAATAAGTTATTTTTCTCTATTTTGTTGATCTAAAATGTATCAATTTAAAATTGAACGATTAAAGACCTGCTGTTCTGAGCATGTATCAATTTAAAATTGTAATTGCATCATTATGAACGATTAAAGACCTGCTGTTCTGAGTATTTTCTCCTCTGTGGGAATATCAGTGTGGAGCCAGAAAACAGCAGATATCCACATACGTACGTTTGCACAATCACTACAAGTCACTGGAGTCGTTACTCACCGTGTACGAGCCTCGGCGCGGCCTTTAGTCCTGCTGCAGACGGTGAAGTTCCCGTAACATTCTCAGCTGACTGATGTCGTGCAAAAACATCCGTATTTGCCTGAGCTCATTGTCGTTTCTTCCCAGTTGCACAAAATAGTCCAAGGTGGCGATCTGCCTGTTGGTCAGCTGATTCGCTGCTGGCAAATCTCCTATGGGCAAAATGAACCAACAAGGACCTGCGAATCAGACAGAAGTAGACGGGAGTTGAACAGAAATCACAGAGCAGACAGTGACTCACATGATGCCGTTAGATACTTACTATTTTTCCCAATGTGTCGCCCGTCTCCTCTGGCGTTCATTTCAGATCAAGGTGTTTCCCTTCCCGTGCGAAACCAAAGGTCTGGTTTATACTAACAGTACCAGGTCTGAGTGTTAACCTGCTACAATCATTTAAAATGTTGCATCACCGTCTCTCTGTGGTTTCCTCTCTGAATTCACTGATGTTGTATTAGGACCTAGCGTTTGTCCTTTGAACTTTGATGATGTCATTAGATCCACGTCGTCAGAAAGTCTTCACACTTGAGACCAGGTTTTAGAAGAGGGAGAGGAGCGGGCGGTGGAGGGGGGTAAAGGATAATGAAATCTGATGAAATGATGTCACGATGTGAATACTACCTGAACATATTAGGGAGTGATGTCACGATGTGAATACTACCTGAAGTAAACTCATTTACAGTAAATGGACCCTGTACTACAGTACACAAACACAAATATACTCCTTTTCAAACAGACTGCAGGGTGTTTTTTTATCACATTCACAGAACAGTGTTTTACATTTATTTTTCTAAGTACATTCAGCTTGGTGTACTACAGATTTTTCACTGCGTAGAGAAATGCAATTTCTGTGCTAAATTTTTTTTTTTTTTCCTACGGTGCTGTACACCCCCTCTGAAACATTAACCACCAAAATAAAAACAGTTAAAATGTATATTCCTGACTCAAAGGTTTTTATTTAGAGTTCTAGAGTTTTAGAGTCCATCTCCTCCAAGGCTAAACTGAGCTAAGCTAATTTAGCATAACTTCCTGTGACCAGTAATTGTGCGCTATTGTGATTCAAAATAAACAAGGAGAGTATGTATTTATACATCTGTGTTAAATATATATATATTTTAGGAGGTTCCATTATACACAGTATTATTATAAAAATATTTCTCCCGTGTACAGGCTCTGCGTATCATCCTCCACAGTTTGGACCAGAGAGCTGCGGTCTACCAGCGCTACATCCAACCACTGCTGTCGGTCAGCGTGGACTTCTACATCAGAGTTTTCGTACGAGTCTTTACGGGACAGGCCAAAGTCAAAAACTCAGCCAGGTACTTCAGAACTTTTTTCTCAAGCATTATTAATGTTTGATGTAAAATGTAAAATCAGCATTTTTAAATCTCTCTCTCTCTTTCTCTCTCTCTCTCTCTCTCTGCCTAATCAAATACAATAAACAGGCGCTCGTCTACAACTGTGTGGGCTGTGGCTCCTTCCATTTACAGAGCATGGGCAAGAGAATCGACAATGGGAAAAAGTAAGTTCTACAACCGTTTAAAAAAGACGGACAGTGAAGATACAATGAAACCTGTACTGAGTTTTCACTCACCAAATTTTCAAGTAATAAAATGAATAAGTCGTATCTGCTCAGACTACCAGGATAAAGAAAGACAGTGATGTAATGTTGTTGCTGCAAAAACGAAGAAAGACAAACAGATTTTGTTGGTATACAGTATTTTGTTTTAAATACAAATATATGTACTCCAAGTACTCACTTGAGAAGACGGTGCCACAGTACTTCTTGGTGTTTGTGATTTCAGTATGAAGTATTCTGCTGCCACTGGACCTCCAGTTGGACGGGAGTGTGAGCACTGTGGACAGAGACATCAGGTCAGTGACACACATATATTTAGTCAGTGCTTAATTAAAAAAAATATTGATTACCTTTTCTTTTTTTTGCCTAATCAAATACAACTTCAGTCACAGATGTTTAAAAATGAGGTTAATGGAAACGGAGCAGTTTGAACCACGTTGTTGTTCAATGTTTGAACAAACTCCTCCTCTTTCTCTCCAGCTGGGCGGTCCCCTGTGGGCGGAGCCTATCCACGACTCCTCATTTGTCCATAAGGTTCTGTCAGCTGTGTCGGGGAACCCCTCCAGATTTGGGACGACCAAACGTATCGAGGGCATGCTCAGCATGGTGACGGAGGTACGAGTTTGGTATTCACACAGTATACAAACACAGTAGAGTGGTCCCTCGTCTGTTACAGAGGTTACGTTCCAAGACCGCCCGCGATATGTGAAAAACTGCGAAGTAGAGACGCGATAGTTATTTACGTATATATTAACCCTTTATGAACCCTTTAGAAGGCATTGTAGGGCATGAAATATTGCAAAAAGCAAAACTTTTACAAATGTCGTTTACCCGTACGTACACGTTATTTCTTGTAATACTCTGTATTTTTTTTTTAAAGTTTTTTTTTTCTTAGGCTAGAAAATGCTTATTTTATTACGATTTTTTTATGTACTGCAAAAGATCCCGATAGAGCGAAAAATCCGTATTACAAGAATACATTTAAAATTAAAAAACCCGCGATGCGGTGAAGGCGCGACAGCCGAACCGCGATACAGCGACGACTGTATTTGAGTATGAATTTCAAAAGATAGAACAAGAAATTTTTTCCAAACATGACAGCATTACCTCAGCTGTTCTAAAGATAGAACAAGAAATTTTTTCCAAACATGACAGCATTACCTCAGCTGCTGTTGCCGCTGTTGTTGTTGTTTATACCCACCCCTGTTGTCTGTTCCAGGAGCTGGAAGATGTTCCTTTTTATTACACTGTGGACGGTCTGAGCAGCACCATACACTGCAACACTCCGCCCCTGCTCCAGTTCAGGTACACACACACACACACACACACACACACAGAGACTGTCATGATGCTGTGCTAACTGCTCATTTTATTCCCTCGCTGCAGGTCAGCCCTCCTTCATGCAGGTTACAGAGTTTCTCTCACCCACGCCTGTAAGAACGCCATAAAAACAGACGCTCCCCCCAGTGTCATCTGGGACATCATGAGATGTTGGGTAAAGATAGAAAAGATTTAATGTTTTTATTTTTAAATAAATCCATTCATCAATGACAGTCTTCACTCTCTGGTCGCCACAGGAAAAGGTGAATCCTGTGAGGAGAGAGAAGCTCTCAGAGACCAGCCCTGCTTTCAGAATCCTCTCCACTGAGGCCAAGTGAGAGTCGGAAGAGTCGTGTTAACCAACACACATCGATTTTCATCCATCGTTTTTACATGTTCACCGAGTCCTTACCTTTGTGTTTGAATGAAGGCTGGAGGCCTGCTTCACTGTGAGGAACGACGCCAACCCTCAGTCACGGAAACGCCACCTGACGCGATTCCAGGAGAATCCTCAGGCGTACTGGGGGCCCAAAGCTAGGGCCAAAGCTTGGTAATTACAAAACACGCGCACGCACGCTGAGAGAGAAGGCAGTTTGGTTTAAATTGTGATCCAATAGTTTTAAAAGTCAACTGTGATTGTGATGATGATGATGATGATGATGGTACATTTTCTTAAAGATACATTTTGTTCTTCAGATGAATCGTCATGGTAGCCTATTTCAACAGTGTTTAGCACGTACGCTGGCCCTAACCTGGCCTGTAGGTGGCGCTAAGCACACATTTGATCTTTGTCCAAACATCTCAGTAAAGTGGCTGTTATGTATAAACACACTATTTGGATGATTACTGGCATGCTAACATCTGGCCTAGTGGCAGTTTTTTCAGTAGCATCCATCCACTATTTGGATGATTACCAGCATTTAGCACCTAGCATGCTAGTGGCATGCTAACATCTGGCGTAGTGGCAGTTTTTTCAGTAGCATCCATGTACATAGTGTTAGCGCTGGCCTGTCATGCAGCCTTTTGATGTGATCAGTAATCAGTACAGTCTCACTGCTGGCTCAGGCTAACTCTGCTAACACCGTTAGCCTTGCTTCTTCTTTGAGCTTTACTGGCAGATCTGACTCTTGTGAGCCACATCACTGCCACCTACTGGGTATATTTTTCGCTGGTGTATATTTCATATAGAAGGCATGCAAAAGATCCAAATAATTTTATTTAAATGTCAATTTGATGTTGCTATGGTTACCTGCTACTGTTTATATTGGAGAGAAAAAAACCCCCACTAGCGTGTCTCATTGTATCTTGTCTATCTTTTCTTCCTCCAGTGGGGGCATCGCCACAGACCTGCAGGACAAGAGGAAGAAGTTCCAGAACAAGAGGAAGAGCCAGGTCACAGACTCTGCTCAGCTCAAGGACTTTCCCTGCAAGAGATTCAAACAGGTCAGTGTCGGCTGCAGTGGTCACAAATGAATTAAACAACTCAGTGGTACTTACATGTGCCGAGGCCGTCTGGTTATTAAAAAAAAATAGAAAGGTCAGAAACCAGGCTGGTAAATTTTTTTTCTTTTTGTTTTTCAGGGAACATGTACACACGGAGACGACTGTCGCTACTCTCACAAGTCAGAGCAGACAACTGAAGAGAAGACGGAGTAAACCTACAGATTTGTTTTTTTAATTATATATTTTTCTGGACTTTTAAATGGTCAATGCAGCCTGATCACAGTGAGGATAGCAGGCTGCAGTTGTTTCCAGAGGTAAACGACTGTTATATTTTATTTTAGTTTTTTTTTTCACAAATAAATTCCTTGCTGTGATTTAAATGTCTTTCTTTTCCCGACCACAAACCTACTTCATCTTTCCCTCTGATCTGCTCATGTCTGATCTTGTTTTAGACGATCGTCTGAAATGAAAAATCTCAGCATCTTTACATCATGAGGCAGGTTTGAACACACAACATCTACTCAAAGACAAGTGATCAACAGTCACTGAACACTTACGAATCACGAGTTTTAATTTGGAGACGCTGCACAATCAGTACAAAAAGCGTTTGTCACATTGGCATTAGTAGAAAATGATTTTCTTATTGCACTCACCTGGGACCGTGTGCAGTGATACAGGAAGAAACCCGATCTAAACTTTGTAAGAGACGATCGTGACAAACCACGTCTCAACGTCCTCCTCCAAAACTCTTCAAACCAGCACGAAAGTCCAGGCACGGTTGTTTATATATATATATAAAAAAAAGATTTTAAAGAAAATCTAAACATGAGAATTTTAGAACAATGAAAATACTTTTTGGAAATGTGCATTGTGCTTCTTGTGAATTGTACAATAGAAGATGAAAAATATAGGCAGCCACTGTGATCAAGAAAAAAAAAAAAAGTTCCGAGTACTACAGACAAAAGTTGAAGTATATGAGAGCACCCAGAATTATCACTCTGACACAAGTTGTAGAATTTGGACCAAAAATCCTGAGATAAATGACTGCAATAAAATCCAGCTTCAGAGAAAAGAGTAAAGATCCGACTTTGTGGCGTGTGAAGGCAGACAGATGATTTCTTCAAGTGGAACAAACGACCGTCCTCGTTTGGTTTCTTCATATCGACCAGGACGACTTTCTTTTTTAAGATGAACTTATTTATCTGAGGCTGACTCTGAGCAGGAACGTCCTGATCTCCATGGGTCTTAGGGTCACCTCCCAGGTGGAGGGATCTTGGAATGACTTCAGCAGTGGAGGCCCCTCCTCTGAAAAAAAACAAAAAAAAAACGACCGTCACATGGTTTCTACAAATGGCCACAAACTGAGAGCCAACAGTGAGAGTTGAAGGTTAAAAAAAAAAAAACCCACAGAGATCTTTTACAATAATAAAAAAAGAAAAGACCTTGTTAAAAATATCCTGTAGTTTACTGTTTCACAGCCACCAGCCAAAACAAAGTGTTTATGACTCATTATATCACTTCACCCATTTAATTAGACCCTGCAGAGAGAGAACGTGCAGAGCTGAGTCAGCTGTAACGGAGCAGCGAGTGTCATCGGTGCAGAATAAAAGGTTGTTCCCGTTCAACGCTGAAATTAATTTGACCCTTGTAGCTGGAGGTTAAATGTTCCATCAGGGGAAGGAGCAGGAGGCCGGCGACGACCAATCAAAGAGCCCGCAGCTAATCCTATAATAAGTGTTGATGCGTTTGTAAAGTACAGATTCTTTTTTTTTTTTTTTTTTGTTCCTTCCCGCCCTGCAACGTCTAGAAGTTGTAAAAGTGCTCCAGATCGTTTTTATCTCCTGACAAGAGCGGCATAATTTGCTGAGCGTCACTTAAACTTTTACAGTTGATGACGTTACATAAGTCGGAGGAACCAATAATCTGCTGAGTGTGTGTGTGTGGCCCACCTCGTACATGTCACGTTTTCAGACTGTCGACCAAAACAGTAAAAATGTATCACTAAGATTTTCATGTAATGATTATTTGTTGTATAGTTTTTTTTCTAAAAGTGTGACACAGTGGTGTGTGTGTGTGTGTGTGTGTGTACCTGACTGTGGGCTCCAAGCCAAACGTATCATCTCATCTTTCCACTGATTGGCCGACAGGTTCAGCTCAGACATGCCCAGCACCTCCAGAGTTGAAAACAGCTTCTACACCGGGAAATCAAAAAAAAAAAAAAAACCTTAGCTTTACCAAATCAAAAAAGAAAAACAAAAAAACCTAAGCTTTACCATAAAATTAAAATGTCAAATGAACTTTTCATCTATTTATTTATGGTAGTTTTTTTTTATTTTTTTTGTGCTCTTAGTTAGTTCCCTCCGAACTTTTCATCTATTTATTTATGGTATTTTTTTTATTTTTTTGTGCTCTTAGTTAGTTCCCTCTGACCTGCAGGTTGACAGTCACTGGCTGTGAGTGCACTTTACTCTCCCAGCTCTGGAACTGATGCTCCAGTCTCAGCAGCACCGAATCAGCATCCCACTGTGTCAGTGTCAGGAGGTGGACAGCAGGGGGCAGTGCAGCCTGAAGACCTGAGAACTAAACACAATTTGACCAAAGGCAAAAATAAATAAAACTGTGATTCAGATACAAAAACAAACAAAGACTTCCTATTTTTTTTTTATCCAAACTCACCTCCAGTCTGGTGCCGGGGCTCAGCTCTCCTTTCATAAATGTTAGCAGAGGCTGCAGTACCACCTCCTGTGCCAGGGGGCGATGAGCATCCGCAGCAACAGAAGGGCGGTCGAGCAGTAGCAGGAGGCGACCACGGACTACCAGGCCCTCGGGGAAGATTTCCGAGGTCTCGTTGAGAGGCTCCGCCACGCCACGCACATCATCGTACAAAAGACGCCGATGGAGCTGAGGGGGAGGAGCCAAGGTTAGGGTTAGGGTTAGGTTGGTGTGTCTGTGTTTGTTTACAAACATTAAAATGTTTTTTTTTTTGTACCATGAGTTCCAAAGAGCCGTTGTGGATGCTTCCTCCTCCCTGAGAGCGATCAGTCACCACCGTGAGCTGATCCTCGTCGTCCTAAAGACAATTAACAATTAGCAGAACATTAAGAGTGAAGGCTAAGCAGGAATTTAAACAACTACCGGTACTTAAATTCAAGTACTCCGCTGGTTACTTTAACTACTTAAATTCAAGTACTCCGCTGGTTATTATATATCCTGCCAGTCAATATACTGTATATTTGACTAACAATCCCGTTTAGAAGAAAATAGAAAGTAAATCAAGACAACGGATGAAACTTAATTTAAAATATATTAATGTCACAAACATATTGGTTCTGTGAAATAATCCAACACTTCACGTACCTTAATAAAAGCACGAGAGTTGACCGGGTAGTAGTTTCCGGCGATGGGCTCCGACTGTCTCAGGTTCCACGTGGGTCTGAAGTTTGTTCTGTTGGGAAACACGAAGAACGTTCTTCTCTGCGCGTTCTACGGTTGAACTTTTGATTGACGGGCAGCTGCAGCCGCCTGCTCGTCATCTTACCTTCTCTGCAGAACTTCTCTGCCGTTGGAGTCCGTGTAGAAAAACTCAGAGGTTTTAATGCTGGTGTCCAGACGGGTGATCACCTCCTTCCCTTGGCTGTCACTGAGGAGAAGAAATGATAGTCGTTATTTTACCATCTTAAATGCATTAGTTTGTGCTATTATTAACTATTAGTGACAAACTGATTATAATAATAAATGATCATTTTTAGCTCTAGGTTTATATTGAAGTAAATGGACAGGATTATACAGTTTGTCCATGTTATTTTAAATAGTTCTTCATCTCTGTGTGACTAAATAAATTAATAATTTTCATAAAATAGTTCATTCCTAATGAACTCGTTCTATTGCCTAAAGGAAACGTTGGTTTTATTGGATTAGATTAAACTTAATGAATCCCACTCTGGGGGAGAGTTGTTGTGTTACAGCAGCACACAGACAGATGTGAAGACGATAAAAAAACTAGGTCTTGTAAAATCTTGTAATAAAAAAAAAAATAAAAAAAATAGTGACTGTAGAACTCGGTACTCCACACATGGGCAGCGGTCCCACGGTCCACTCCAGCTCCAGAGCCCTGCTGTCGGCGTAGAGACGAACCACCTGAGAAATCCAGGGCGAGAACCACTGCCGCACCTCCTGCACCACGGACGTCTAGCACACACACACACACACACACACATATTTAGCGTTGTAAACCAAGAATGGCAAGAATGAGTTCATAAATTATTTGTTTTGTTTTTTTTAAACTGAAACAATAGTCGGGCATCGGTTTAGTTTGACTGACACCTAGACTGAAACTACAATGAAATCAATACAAATGACACTGAAAACATAAGTCAAATCAATACAAATGACACTGAAAACATAATCAAACAGTGATCTAACTAAAAGGATTCCCAATCCCTGGTCCAGGGACAGGTGCCGGTCCATAGGTTATTTGGTACCGGGTCGCAGTGGGACACAGGTCCAAAGGTCATTCAGACTCTCAGACTTTCTTCTCTTAGTATCAAAGATGTTACATTTTTAAAATATAATAATCCGTCAACGATGGCGTGGTATTATCAGGCCGCAGTAACGGCTGATACCGGCCGACCGGTCCTTGGTACAAAAACAGGTTGGGAACCGCTGATTTAACTCCCCTGGACCCACAGTCACAGTGACACCGTGTCAGTGCTGTCGTGACCCTGAATGTGACCTCTTCGGCTGTGTTCTACCTGCAGCGTCTCCGTCTTGGCTCTGGGGCTGACGGTGAACGGTGTGGACGAGTTGGGTCTGAAGATATAGGCTCCTGACGGCTGGATACTGTCAGAGTTGTTGCCGTCACTGGCGTTGTACCTGAATCAAGTGTCACACACACACACACACAACACACAACACAAATAAACAACAACTGAAGAAGGGCAACTGCAATACTAAAAAAAAACTTAAGACGACAGACAGGAAAAACACAAACCAGTAGAAATTCTGTCTCAGCTTGATGCTCTGTTTGGTCTCCAAGTTGCTGAGGCTACTTAAGAGGCCAGTTTCTGGGTCAAAGGTCACCCGCAGGTACTGTGGTTCATGACAGAAAAACACAAACACTAAGAAGAGAATGACATTCACGTGAACTAACACCGTTCACACTCAGTGTGATTTTTTTTTTTTTTTTTTAAATATTCTTCATGGTAACAGTCCGGTGTCGACACCTTGTTCTGGATCACAGTCGGGGCGTCGTGCTGGACCGCCGTCCTCGGAGGCCCGTCCTGCAGCAGGGACACAGAGTAGGTGCTGAAGCCCAGAGGAGGAGCCTGGACCTGGAACACCAGCTCGTTGACAGCAAAGCCTCGACTCCTCCTCACGTCCTGAGTGGCTTTGGACACGGGAACAATCTGGATCAGGAAAATAAGATAAACGTAAAGTACAATAAAGTACAGGGCAACACTATCATATATATATTGACATATTAATTAAAAAGAAACCTCTCTATGACGTGACATATACAGTTTCTCTGACAACCCACCTGACAGTCCACAGCTTTGCCACTAGCGTCAGAGATGACGTACGCACTCCCGTTTACAGGCAGCCTGACGGGCCAGGTGACGGGCCGGGCCAGAGGGTTGTACACGCTGACTGAGAACTGACAAAAAAATAATTATGATTAAAACACTGATATGGACTGTGAGCGCTCGTCTGTCAGTCTGGGTGGGGTTAAAGTTTTTTTTTTTCCACCTTTTTGCTGGACTCGGTGATTGGACACACACTGATGTTGAGGTTGTCGCAGTAGCTGCGCTCGGACGATGACCCGCTCAGAGCAGCCAGACTGTTACTGACCAGAACCTGAGATAAATGGACGACATAAACAGAGGGAAACAGACACAAGGTCCAAGTTTGACCGTTACACCGACTGTGGTACAGTATTTATGAAGTAGTACTTTAAATGCAGTATATTTATTTTACCCCCTTTGTATTTACAGCGATACAATATATATATATGCACTAGTAACATGACAATAAATATATGACAGGAACCACCGTTAAATACGCAATTATATGTAGATAATTAAAAATGTTAACTGGCTTCTCCGTTGAATGAACACATTTTTTGTTGAAGATTATTTTCATGACTATAAGATATAGAAATATACACTCATAAAGGCTAAGTACTGCTAAAGTACCTGACAGTTGTCCCAGCCTTTAGCCAATCTTCTGGCGTAGTCGTTGGCCACGTGTTGTTTCTCTGTCCCGGACACAGCGTCGTGATGCTGAGCCACGGCCATGGCTTTCTCTGACAACAGCAAGGAGACAAAGGTACAATACTACAGTACAACACTAAAATGGTTTTCTTTTTTGTTTGTCTTGATTTAAAGAAAAAAAGCAAAATAAACATTAATATAATAAACTCACTGAGTGTCTGACTGTCGCCTTTTCCAAACGGTCCGCTCCTGGAGGCGGGGCCGCCGAGCACCTCCCGCTGGGTACCCGTCTAGATCATGCCAACAGTTATTATATTATATAGATGAGCATTATTAGTCAGTTTAATAAATTAATCAATAGACATCAGAAGATTAATTAGACGTAAATGTCAAAGGTTTTTACAATAAAAAAGTTACTGTATCTACACTGCAGAAAACTAAGACGATCCCTTTATTTCTCAATGGTTATGGTGTTTCATTTCATCAGAACATATGATTTTAATTGCAATAAAACATTCCTTTAAATTAACCTTCAATAAAATACAAGGTTTTAACCCACACATCTTTATTTGATGACGCCATGTTTAGCTGCTCTATGGATTTAATAAATTGATTTTCTTGAATCAATCTCAATAGGCACTTAGCTTCACAAAGACAAAATATCTACACTGCCCTCTGCTGGTTGACACCGAGTTTCACAAGTTAAAAAATGCAACTTCCACATATAAATGTATTTAGAAATGTGTCACCATTTATGGAAACATTACAAAATTGTAAACAAACAAACAAAATAAATAGTTATCCAGTTGATGGCATAAAATGTTGATAAAAACACAGTATAAAAATACAAATGGGTCAAGTCCAGCACCCAAAAATAAAATGTCAACAAACAATTAACATGTCGTTGTTTCTGATGTACCTGCAGGTTGCTGTTGCTGATCCTCTCATAACGCTTCAGTGCTGGTCGACTGGTAAAATAGCCAGTCCAGAAATCGTGAGCGCTGTCTGCATAAGGGAAAAAGTCATCTGCCTTCAAAGACCTAAATTAGAAAAAAA